CGCTGAGCTAAATCCCCAGCCCTTTTATGTGAATTGTTAAGTCCTGCAGTTGAACAGTAAGAACATCTATCTTCCTCTGAACCAATATAAGGCTCCTGGAAATGCTTAAGTCTGAAGTCTGCCACCTACTTTTTTTCAATATTTAGTTCTACAAATATTGAACTCACTTTTGTTTTAGGCAACAAATAATTAATACACTTTTTGGTTGCCTGCATTACTTCTTGACATTGTTTTATTTATTTATTTATTTATTTTTTTTGTCTTTTTGAGACAGGGTCTCACTATGCAGTTCAGGCTGGCCTCGAGCTCACTTTGTAGCCCAGGCTGGTCTTGAACTCACAACGATCCTCCTGCCTCAGCCTCCCAAGTGCTGGGATTACAAGCATGCGCCACCACACCCGGCTTCTTGACATTGTTTTATTTTTAACATGAAATAATTTCAAACCTAGTGGAAAATTGTAAGAACAGTCTTCTCTGTTACACTTGACATGATGTCCGTCACTTCTGAACATGTCCATGTGTAATTCTTACAAACGATGTTCTCCTACATTAAAATCAGGAAGTTAACATTGATACAGTCTTATGATCTAATCAGACTCCTTTCAGTTTTGGTGAATCATCTCCATGATGCCCTTCATAGAAGAGGATCTTGTGTGGAGTCATGCATCACATGTTGTTGTCTTGTGTTTTGAGTCCCTTTATTTTGGAGTGGTGCCTCCACTTCCTTTGATTTTCATGTTACAATTTAAAATTGACACAACTGTGTTCTTTTTATTGAATCTTATTACGTGGTACATGGTGTTGACTTGTCCCAGGAACAGTGATTGTAACCATGATGAAAGTAATATTTGCCAGGCTTTTCCACTGTACAGGTACTCTTTAGATTTAATAAGAATTTTGTAGGGAACCATTTGAAACTATACAAAGATCCCATTTCTCATTAAAATTTCACACAGTGGTTTTAGCACGCATTGATTTGTCATGGCTGCATCGTCAGTGTCACAGTTGTCAATTTGTTATTTTCTAATTGTTGTATTCCATCTATATTTGTTCATTAGTGGTCTACTGGAGGGAAATTTTTTCTTTTCTTCACATATGAATATGTATCAGTTTATACCAGACTCATGAATTTCTGCTTTATCCAGTGGATTGTAGTCTCTTATAATATATAATTGTTTAATTTGATGCTCAAATTGTCCAAGACTTGGAGACCCTTTTAGTTTTTATCTTTGGTACACTTCCATTATTTTTGGGGCATTTTCTTACTTCCTACATTAAAATATTCCAGGCTCATATTATGCTTTCCTTGCTCCAGTCCTGGAAATAAACATTTTTCCAAGGAGATCTGCTTCCATTTATTGGAAAGTGATTATGTAGAAAATAAATAAGATCTGGGTGTTAGGTGTAATAATTACAATTGTTCCCAGTCCCTCCTCTATCATTTATCTATAGATGTAGACACATATTCATGTATTTGTATATTGACTTCCAGATTTGGCTACATTGATACCCATGGGTTCTGCTGATACTTCCAATCCCAATCTCTTTTCATGTTCATCCCTTCTTTTTCTAGCCATTGGGAAGGATTCCCTTTATCTTCATTCCATGTATTTATTGCATCAGTCTTAACTATATAACTCATTTCTCATTTCAGCCCTGACCTCCACCCCTTAACCTCAATACACACCTGCTTTGCTGAACCCCACCTAATGACTTTTGAACCAAAACAACAAAGTGTTTTTTTTTTTAAACTACATTGATAAGACTTATGTCTACATTTTAAAAAAATCACCTTCTAACCTAATTTCCTGTTCTTAACACAGAGTTTTATTCTTTTCTCTATCTCTTTGGTCATTTGAAACTTTCTCATTTATTTGCAAGTTGCTTTTAGACTGCTTTACCATGTCTGGGTTCAGAGGATTCCATTAGCTGCCTCTACTCTGCTGCGGTATGATTTAGTTCTACATAGGGTTTATATTTTTTTTATTTAACATGAGTAAGTTTTCAATATGGCTTGTTTACCACATAAATCCGAGTGTCCAAAATTGTGGAATTGTCCCTGTGGAGTCATTCCTGGGGAATGATTTTGCATCTGCCTCTGCCAAAGACCTCAGAGTTTTATTGGCTTAGACAACATATTCTATTAATTCCCTAAGTCAAGATTTCTGCACTTATGAATCTGATCATCACAGCCCTTGTGGCTTGGCAATGAGCCTCCATACAGGTCATTTTTCTTTCAACTTCAAGCCTGTGTGCATGGCAAGTTTCCTCACAGTTTCCCCTGACTGGCAAGCAGAATTTGTAGAAGAGAAGCAGAGCCTGTTGTGTCTTCTTGTTTTATGCAAAGTTTAGTTTTGACTCTCGTGAGTGTAACTTCTCTCCAGGCTCCCAACTTCTGTTAAATACCAGTTTCGAGCCCCTATAGCATATGTTGATTCTATTTTTTTTCATATGTTGATTCAATACCTCTGGTAAAAGGTTTCACCTCCTACTTATCCCCCAGCCTTCTAGAATTCTCTGTTTCTGGCACCTGAGAATTTCCTTGATTTGGTTTGTACTTGGCTGTACATTACACTTGGTTATACATTTGCATTTGGCTATATACTTTTTAATTCTGAGTTTTTGATTGCACCTCAGTACACATTCTAATTTTTTCCATATTTTAATAGTTTAACCAGAAAGAAACTGTCAATGAGTCTTTGGTTGACCAGTATTGCATGTTTATATCTGTTTTCA